AATTTAACTGCATGGGGCCGGGGAAAAGTGCTTCCCTTGCCCCCCCCCCCCACCTCTCTAGGCAGCCCTATCTACATGCAGTCCTATCTACATGCAGTCAGGATGTTTTAGGTAGCCAAATTTCATTGCATTCTAACATATATATATACTTATATAATACATACTTTTATAATTTGCTACATAATTGTACTTTAAACTAATGCATGCATGTGTTACGTTATCAGGCCTACATCTTATTTTATTATTCCAAATATTTTTATTTCAGTTATAATATTAAAGATCATTTAATTAACATTTTTTATTTTTAAATTTGCTAGTATTTTATCAGGCAATGGGGTTAAGGTATTTTTATATCAGGATTGCAAAGAGAGAGAGAGAGGTAGATGGATTCCGACGAAGCCATGACCAGTCAAATTACTACATACCATAGTGTTACACTCGTGTTGAGCCTAAAAATATGGAATGTCAGGACGAAAGATTGGAAGGAGGTTTGATCACAATGTAAAGTGAAAGAGTGAAAACTGAAGTATTAATGAGCAAACTGGCGCCCCCCCCCAAAAAATTCAGTGATATACCCAAGCAAGGTTCTATTTGCCAGTGGCGAAACTGACCGTGCAGAAATATTCTTGTAAGACAACGGAAACACACTTTTAGCATTGAGCAGTTGTTGGCCGCCATGCGGGAGGTGGAGGAGTCACCTCGGGAGCCATGGCAACAAAAAGGAAAAGGAGGCAGAAGAAAAAGCAAAAATTAGGTACTTAGGTAGAAAATTGTAAAGCTCTGCGGAGGATAGTGGCCGAAAGTTCTTACAAGCCAATCCAACATGACAGGATACAACTTTGATTTTGCGAAGCGCCTGCTGTCACACATCAACGCCAAAAAGGATATTCATATGATCATGGCAGATGTTAATGCAAGTTTGATTTGTTTTTTTTGTAACAAAAATATAAGCAAAAAATGTGTGAAATTTTAGGTAAAAAAATATATAAGAATGCTAACCCAAAGTGTTGTGTTCCCTCAAAAAAATATAAAAAGTAAACAAAAAATGTGAGACATTTTAAGTAAAAAAGGTATGAACCGCCAGCCGTACTGTTACTCAAGTTATGTCCACTCAAAAAAAATAAAATAAATAAAAATTTGAACAAAATGCGTCACATCGCTTTTACGGGAAAGCAGAATCCATGGGAAGTGTTATCTCACATGTACTTTTTCGAAGGAGTATATCACATGCACTTTTTTTAATTTGCAACTATTGCAATTTATATATGCACACGCTGCTATTTGAAAAAAGGGTCCTTCGCAAACCTTAACCTATCACAACGACAATCGTGTTTAATTAAAAAGCTTGCCATGCACCAGTGGTTGATCGATTGTCAGCGCATTGCATGAAATACGACGCGAAATTAAGAACGCAATTTCATTTTGAGGTCCTTACTTATACTTTGTATTTTTAGATTTATACAAAATTTAATTGTATATTTATATTATGTTCATTGGGATGACAATATGTATAATGTTACTGTATGTTGTGAGTGATTCAAACATTCTTGCAGGCATTTTGAAGTCCTTCCTTATACTGCTATAAGTTAAGATCAATTTTATGAATATTTGAAGTGTTGTTTGTAATATATTAAACATCTGCAGGTGTCTCCAGCCATGGCCAGCAAAAAATACAGAATTTCTCTACCATGGAAGAATTGCATCTCTGGCAATGAAAGTGTGTTCATATCAATGAATGAAAGTATGTTTAATCAAGAAGTGTATTTATATTATTTTCATTGGGATGACAAAAAGCCTACCAACCTTACACTGTATAATGTATATAGTTATGTGAGTGATTCAAACATTCTTGCAGGCATTTTAAGGTCCTTCCTTACAGACCTTATACTCTATATATAAGTTACGACATATTTTGTTAATATTTAAATGCTTGTATTTTGGGGGTTTTGTTTAGACAAAGTCGCTCTGATCATCGCCAATTTGGCCAGTTTTCCCCAGGGCGGTCCCATTTGATTTCGCTCCATGAATTGGAGGCAAAATTGAAGGCAATAGTAGAAGGACCAGACTTCTGGGCTTTTACAAGAGTCAGTCCTCCATATATTGCATGCACATTGACCATTGTACATTATGAGAAGAGATAAGATTTCATATATTTTTTAAAATTAATTTTCGTTGTTGCTTGTTTTATACGAGATGGCATTTTGTTCCATAAATATATACAATAGTCAATACTAGAAAGTTGTATTACGTGCAGGCTCAAATGTGGAGAGGCAGTTCAACCAACCATGCAAATCAGTTTGTTACAGAATTGTTCACTGCTGTTTGAGTTAATTGCACTTCATTATTCATTAACCAACCCCAGGCCAGTAATATTTTCTTGTATCATTTATCTATCTAGCATTCGATACATCCCTGCGTACTGCAGAAACAGACACCTCCAAGGTGGTCAAAGCAAGGTATTGTAAAGAAAAAAGGGTCCTTTTCAAACCTTAACCCATCACAACGACAATCGTGTTTAATTAAAAAGCTTGCCATGCACCAGTGGTTGATCGGTTGTCAGCGCATTGCATCAAATACGACGCGAAATTAAGAACGCAATTTCATTTTGAGGTCCTTACTTATACTTTGTATTTTTAGATTTATACAAAATTTAATTGTATATTTATATTATGTTCATTGGGATGACAATATGTATAATGTATATATAGTTACTGTATGTTGTGAGTGATTCAAACATTCTTGCAGGCAATTTGAGGTCCTTCCTTATACTGCTATAAGTTAAGATCAATTTTATGAATATTTGAAGTGTTTTTTTTGTGTAATATATATTAAATATATACAGGTGTTTCAACATATCCGAACCAAGAGATGTAGATTGTGTCCACCCTTCAAGAGGAGCTGCATCTCTGGAAATGGTATGCCAACTATTATTCTAGACTAAATTGGATCAAGCCCGACTTGGTCCAAGTCTACTATTATTCTTATAGATACACTTGTTTTTAAATATTTTTTATTTTATTTACCCCAGAGAATGACTACTGGGCGAAGGTCGCAGAGATTTTGGGCTATTTCGGTTGACATTGGAAATGTAGGAAGGTACTTTACATGAATTATCTGGAGGACCATAATGGTCTGAGAACGGAGTTCTTGTGTCGACCTGATTAATCTTTTTTATTTTCAGAGACATGTTGGAAGACCTGCCATCTTTAAGTATACAGTGGAGCAACTCTTGACGCCATGTGGGAAGTAGAGGGTTCACCTCAGGACTTATGACCGGCCAGAGAATGGATACTGGGCAAAGCTCGCTCTGACTTTTTCGCCATTCCAGGAAATGAATATTTGAAGTGTTTTTTTTTTGTAATATATTAAACATTTGCAGGTGTCTCCAGCCATGGCCAGCAAAAAATACAGAATTTCTCTACCATGGAAGAATTGCATCTCTGGCAATGAAAGTGTGTTCATATCAATGAATCAAAGTGTGTTTAATAAGTGTGTTTATATTATTTTCATTGGGATGATGAGGTGGCACTTGATTGGCAGGTTAATCTTTCGCCCACTCCCAAATTGCATAGGTTCCAGTCTTCTGCCTACAAATAAAATGCCGTAGATCCTGCCCGTTGCCTGAAACCTCTAGTTCTATTAACCGTGCTGAAACGTGCTTTTTTCTTTCCAAAATGCATTCGATACATCCCTGCGAACGGCTGAAACCGACACCTCCAAGGCGGTGAAAGCAAGGTATTGTAAAGAACGTTTGTTTTTACTTGTTGGGGCACTGTGCCCAGGCGAGTATAGGTTTGGGCACATATCTCGTTGCATATTTCGTCAATATTTACATGCATGCGTTTTTGGGGTGTTTACATACAAAAGCCGGTTCCATTATTGTAAACTTAGGCAAGCTTTCCGTTGGGGCCCCATTTGCCTTCGCTTCAAGAATTGGCAGGGAAATTTTAGGCAATGGGGTTTAAGGTACTAATATATACAGATATCACCGC